TCTAGCTGGGTGTGGTGGGTCAAGCCTGTAATCCCAGCACTTTGGAAGGCCAAGGAGGGAGGATTGCTTGAACCCAGGTGTTCAAGACCAGCCCAGGTAACATGGCAAAACCTCATGTCTACAAAAAACAAAAATTTGAGCCAGGCATGGGGGCATACATCTGTAGTCTCAGCTATTTGGGAGGCTGAGGTGACAGATCTCCTGAGCCTAGTAGGCTGTGGTGTGAGCCATGATCATGCCACGGCATTCCAGCCTGGGCAACAGAGTGAGACCCCGACTCAAACAAAAAATAAAATTAATTAGTTAAAAAGTGATCTCATAAATTAGTGTGAAGATTAAACAAGATTATATGGGAAGAGTACACAGGAACACTCAACTTTAAAAAAACTCTCTGTTGTTATATTAACTTTGGAGACTGCTAGCGCTTGATCCTTCAGCCCTTACTCCATATCCACACATGTCTGGGAGATCTCATGATCTCATTCCGTCTTGGGCTTTCTTTTAAAGACAAGGTCTCGGCCGTGCTCGGTGGCTCAGCCTGTAATCTCGTGCTTTGGGAGGCCGAGGCGAGTGGATTGCCTGAGCCCGCAGATTCGAGACCCACCTGGGCAACTTGGCGAGACCTCATCTCCACAATAAATCAAAAATTAGCCGGGCCTGGTAGCGCGTGCCTGTAATTCCAGCTACTTGGAAGGCTGAGGCGGAAGGATCGCTGGAGCCCAGCAGGTCGAGGCTGTGGTGGCCGGGAGCGGCCATTGCACTCCAGTCTGGGCGAGAGTGAGACTCCAACTCAAAATAAATAAATAAATAATAAAGATGAGGTCTCACTCTGTTGTCCAGGCTGTAGCACAGTAGCTTGATCATAGCTTACTACAGCCTTGACCTCCTGGGCTCAAGCGATCTTCCTGCCTCAGCCTCCCCAGTAGCTGGGACTGCAGGGTCATGATGCATGCCTATATATATATATATATATATTTTTTTTTTTTTTTCCAATTTTTTTTAGAGATGACGATGTCTGGCTCCTTTTCCCAGGCTGGTCTCGAACTCATGGCCTCAAGTGATCCTCCCACGTCAGCCTCTCAAAGTGTTGGGATTACAGCCATCGGCTACCATGCCCAGCCTAGTCTTAGAGCTTTAAACAACATCTAAACATTAAGGCTTCCCAGATACACATCCCCAACCCAGAACTCTCTCCTGAATTGGAGAACTGTCTATATGCCTGACATCCTCAACTCCTCCCACTGAAACTGACCTCTTATCCTCACTCCCCCCCCAAAAAATTTACTTCACCCAGCATTCCCATGTCAGCTGATGGAAGTCCTATCTTTCCAGGTGCTTAAGCCCATGACTAGAGTCTTCCATTCTCCAGAACCCTACATGTGAGCCAGTGGCAAACCTGACCGCATTGGCTCCTTATTGGAAAAAATCACTTCTTACCAGAATCCAGTCACCCCTTATCATCTCTATAGCCCTCTATGTGGATGGAGCCATCATCATGTCTCACCTGGACAAATATTGTCACCCCAGCTGATCTCCCTTGTCTCACACAGACTGTGTTCAACACAGTAGTCAGCCAGACGTGGAGGCTCACGCTTGTAACCCTAGCATTTTTGGAAGCCGAGCCAGGAGGACTACTTCAAGATCAGCCTGGACAACATAGCAAGGTCTCATCTCTACCACAAATTAAAAAAAATTAGCTGAGCATGGTGATGTGCACCTCTAGTCTGAGCTACTTGGGAGGCTGAGGCAGAAGGATCGTCTGAGCCCAGGAGGTCAAGGTTGTGGTGAGCCATGATCACGTCATTGCACTGCAGCCTGGATGACAGAGTGAGACCCCAACTCAAAAAAAAAACCAAAAACATAGTAGCTAAAGTTCATATGACAAATCTCATCCCTCTGCTCAGAACTCCCCATTTCTCTCACAATAAAAGTCAAAATTCTTACAGTAACCTCAAGCCCCTGTGTGAATTTACTTCTTTTTTTGTTTTTTATAGGCGGGATCTCACTCTGTTTCACAAGTAGGAGTGCAGTGGCATGATTATAGCTCTCTGCAGCCTTCAACACCTGGATTCAAGAGATCCTCACACCTTAGTCTCCCGAGTAGCTGGGACTACAGGCAAAATTCATCCCCTTGAATTTTCTTATTCATTTATCATCTGTCTTCCCCTCTAGATGTCAATATGCAAGGGTTGAAGAGTGCCTGGCTCATGGGGAATGCTTGAGAAATACTTGTTGAATTAAGCAGGACACTGTGGCTCACGCCTATAATCCCAGTACTTTGGGAGACAGAAGTGACAGGATTGCCTGAGCTCCAGTGTTCAAGAGCAGCTTGGGCAACACAGGGAGACCTCATCTCTACAATAAATCAAAAAAATTAGCTGGGTGTGGTGGTGCACACCTGTGGCTGCAGCTAATTGAAAAGCTGAGGTGGAAGGATCGCCTGAGCCCAGCAGGCTGAGGCCGTGGTGAGCCAGAATCGTGCCACTGCACTCCAGCCAGGGTGACAGACTGAGACTCTGACTCAAAAAATATATATATTTGTTTAATAACATTACTAGCCGGGCTCGATGGCTCAGCCTGTAATCCCATGCCTTCGGGAGGCTGAGGTGAGTGGATTGCCTGAGCCCGCGGGTTTGAGACCCGCCTGGGCAGGCGAGACCTCATCTCTACAGTAAATCAAAAAATTAGCCGGGTGTGGTAGCACACGCCTGTAATTCCAGCTACTCGGAAGGCTGCGGCGGAAGGATCGCCGGAGCCCAGCAGGTCGAGGCTGCGGTGGCCGGGAGTGGCCACTGCACTCCAGTCTGGGCAACAGAATGAGACTCCAACTCAAAAAAAAAAAAAAAAATTAGCTGGGCGTGCTGGTGAACACCTGTAGTTCCAGCTACTTGGAAGGCTGAGGCGGAAGGATCACCGGAGCCCAACAGGTTGAGGCCGTGGTGGCCGAGAGCGGCCACTGCACTCCAGTCTGAGTGACAGAGTGAGAATCCAACTCAAAATAATAATAATAATGATAATAATATTACAATAGACATTGTCATTGCTCCACCATCAAGTTCCCCAAGCCAAAGACCTGGACATCACCCTTACTGATCTTTGCCTCAGCTGGGCTCAGGCAATCCTTCCACTTCAGTCTTTCAATTAGCTGGAGCCACAGGTGTGCACCACCACACCCAGCTAATTTTTTTGATTTATTGTAGAGAGGAAGTCTCCCTATGTTGCCCAAGTTGCTCTCAAACCCTCACCTCAGCATCCATGGCTAGATGGTCATCCCAATCCAAGCCCTACCTCAACCTCAGCTTCCCTCTTCCCACAGGTTCCAAAAGGGGGAGGGAAGCAGCTTGGTTCGAGAGCAGCTCGAACCTCCCTGCCAGCCTCAGATCTGACTATGCCTTGTCCTGTCCCTGCTCACACAACCTCCATCGCTCCCTATTGCCCCAGCATTACGCCTGTGCATTTGGCCCATGTCTACCCTCCTTGCCCATTCTGTTCCCACTTCCCAGATCCAACTGCCCAGCCCTCGAATGCATCCAGGGCATTTGCAGATACTATTCCTTCTGCCCGGAATGCTCTTTCCTCCCCTTGTCACCCACTCAACTCTTCTCATACTGTAGGGTCAGAGAAGTTCTCCCTGACCTATGCCTCAACCGCCATATTCACTCAGTTCCAAGGGATTCTTGTTTGGAGCACTTGTCAAGGGTTTGGTGCTGTTTTGTCTTGTTTTGCTTTGTTTTGTTTCGAGTCAGGGTCTCACTCTATCACCCAGACTGGAGTGCAGTGGCATGATCATGGCTCATGGCAACCTCAACTTCCTGGGTTTGGGCGATCTTCCACCCCAGTCTCCCGAGTAGCTGGGACTATGGGCATGCACCACCATGCCTAGCTAATTTTTTACTTTTTTTTTAAATTTTTCACAGCGATGAGATCTCACTAGGTTGCGCAGGTTGTTTTCGAATCCTGGGCTCAAGCAAAACCTTCCTGCATCAACCTCCCAAAGTGCTGGGATTATAGGTGTGAGCCACCCTACCAGCCTACAGGTTGCAAATAACCATTTACACGTGGAATTGTGTGTCCAACATCTTTTCTCCACCTTCTGTGAAGGCAGGAATTGTGCCTGTCTGTGCTCCTGGCCCAGTGCCGGCAGACAATTAACATGTGATTTGTTGACAAAATAAATGAATGCACAAACTGTCCCCCAAAAAATCTAAGTTTATGTCCTAGGACAAATGGTCACCCAGCCTCCCAGCCCACAGCTTCCCTCAGTTGCTTCACAACTGCCCAGAGCCCCTCATTCCCATCCTGGGCTCCAGGTGTAAGGGTCTGGCTGAGTTAGAGGGTGGAGGGTGTGGGATGACTGCCTCCTTTGCTTTTATTCTACAAAAATCAGAACACTCAGCAAAGGGCCTTCGGCAAGGGAGGAAGGGAGGGGCTTGCGAGGGTCTGGGTTTACAAAACAACAACAAAAGCAAACAGCTAGATCCCTGGGATGGAGCCTGACCCCTGAGCAGTCCGCCCACATGAGCTGAGGGCCTCAGGAAGGTGACGTCCCGGTTCAGGGATCTGACCTCAGGCTTCAGCTTCCAATTCCCTCCATTTAGAAGCCAGCTGTGGCCAGCCCGTAGGGAGTGGGTGCTGAGTCAGAGAGGTGAGTCTTAGGTCCTCAGAAGATTGGGAGGGCGGGGCCTGAGTACCCAGATCCTGGGGGCGTGGCCTGAGCTCAAGGGGCGTGGCCGAGCCTGGTCCCTCAAGTTGGACAGGGGCGGAGACTCAGGGGGCGGAACCTAACCCTCAAGGGGCGGGATCAGACACTCAGGGGGTGGAGCCTTGCCTCGAGGGGCGTGGCCAGCACCATCAGGCTGCTCAACCGCGGAACCTGGTCAGCCAGGCGCAGAGCCTGGATTTTGAGGGAAGTGGTCGATGCCCTTAGGATCTTGGGGCGGGGCCTGGGCCCACGAGGGCCGGGCCCTGGCCCCCCCACTGGGCGGAGTGTGGGTCTCTCTGGGCGGGGCCTGGTCCCCCAGGGTCTGCAGGGGCGCGCCGGCGCTCAGGCCCGCGGAGGCAGCGGCTCCACGTTGAGCCAGATGCCGTTCTCCGTACGCAGGATGAGCTCCGGCTTCCGCCGCACCTTGCGCGTTCGGTCCACACTCAGGCGAAAGCGCAGCAGCGTTAGCGCCACCGCCACGCGCATCTCCGCCATGGCGAAACTCTGTCCGATGCAGTTCCTGAAGGACAGAGGACGGGGCTCAGGCCCAGCTGCTGTGTGAGCGGGGGTCCCTGGGCCTCACCTGCCTCGTCTCGAAAATGAGGCAAACCTCCCGGGCTGGGTGAAGGTTCAAATGAGACCCCACGAATTGCTACATTAATGAGAACTTGGGGTCGGGTGTCTGCATGCTGGCGCAGCCGCTTGCTCGCTGTAGGTCCTGGGTAAGGGACCTCCCTTCTGTCTCAGTTGCCTCATCTGTAACACGGGAACGATGGCGTCATAGAGCCAGCCAAGGGGAGCATGTGAGTCCAGAACTCAAGGCCTGGCACGCAGTAGGTGCTCAATATCTAGGGATGTGATTGCAGAGTCTGATTTGGGGGGCCTCCTGGTGCATTAGGGTGGGGGGTGCAGAAAGGAACACCTGAGAAAGATGTTGGAAAGGACACCTGGGTGGGACGTGGTCTCTGCTCCTGACGGGCACATGACCTTCCACTGGCTTGTTCCTCCCACACCTGACTTGGACCCGGGGAAATAGAGGAGTTACCTGGGTCCTGCCGAGAAGGGCACATAGGCCAGTGGGGAGCGCTGCTGTGGATTGTCCGGGTCGAAGCGGTAGGGGTTGTACACCTAGGCAGGAACAGCCTGGGGGTGAGTTTTGGGGCTAGCCCAGCCATCCAGCCTGGCCGCCTCCCTCATCCTCTGGGTCCAGTGCAGCTAGATGGAGAGCAGCAGCTCAGGGCCACCTCTCTCATTCCACCCTATATTCACCACCTCCTTCTGTTGTTCAGGCCCTACAGGGCCTTTTCCTACCCCAGGGCCTTTGCATGTGCTGTTTTCTCTGCCTGGAACACACATCTGCCTGCTGTTTAAACCCCATGGGTCTCAGCTCAAGCATCTCTTCCTCCATAAGGTCTGTCCTGACCACATAAGTTAAAGTACCCCCCACCCACTGGGTCTTATTGATTTTGTGCACGTGTCAATACCAAAAATGGCTTTATTTACTTGCATATTGTTTTCCCTCCAAATGTGAGCTCCGTGAGGGCAAAGACAGTATCATCCTCTGTCCTCTGTGCCCAGCACAGGGTCTGGCACACAGTAGGTGCTCAGAACCTAATGTGTTGACTGAATGCATTAACAAGAAGTGGGTGGATAAATGGGAGGGAAGGGACACTGAGGCCCTGCAACCAGCCATGCTGTCTGGCTCTCTGAGGGTTCTCTGAGGGAGTGGAGGCCCTGCTGTCCCAGGGTTGCACCTGCTGGAGAGAAGGGAGCTGAGGGCAAGGAGGGCTGGGACAGGAGCTCACCTTGGAATCGGGCCACACCATGGGGTTGTGGTGGGTTCCATAGATGCTGACCAAACAGATGATTCCTGGAGGGACAGATGGAGTCAGTGGGGCCAAAGGGAGCCAGATTCTGCTCCAGAAGCATCCCTGTGTCTCCCTGGAGCCATGAGGTTCCTATGAGCCATTGGCCACTATTTCCTGTTCATCCTTCTCGGAAAAATTCTGCTGCCTTATCCACGCCCCTGCCTCTCTCTAAGACAGTGGTTCCCAACCTTTTTGGCTGGTTTCGTGGCAGACAATTTTTCCACAGATTGGAGCGTGAGGGGTGGGATGTGGGATGTGTTGCCAAATCTCATTGCTAATGTTAATCTGTATTTGCAGCTGTTCCCCAGTGCTAGCATCACTGCCTCAGCTACACCTCAAATAGATTCTCAGGCATTCGAGTCTCATAAAGAGAGTGTAACCTAGATCCCTCACATGCACAGTTCAAAATAGAGTTCGCGCTCCTATGAGAACTGAATGCCACCGCTGATCTGACAGAAGACAGAGTGCAGGCGGTAATATGAGCAATGGGGAGAAGCTGTAAATACAGATGAAACTTCGCTTGCTGACCCACCACTCACCTCCTGCTGTGTGGCCCAATTCCTAACAGGCCATATACTGGTACCATTTCATGGTCGGGGGGTTGGGAACCCCTACCCTAAAAGGACTCCATCATCTTCTTTCTGGCTGTTATGCTAGCCACACAGGGCTCTTTCTCACTCACATATCTGACATTGCTCCTCCTCAGCCCAAGCACCTCTCTTGGCTCCCTACTGCCCTCAGGATCAAGTTCAGGCACCACCACCTGGTATTCAAGGCCTTTCACAATTGCACCCTGAGACTCTACTCCATAAGCAGGCTCATACTTGCGCTTACAATCTACAAGGCACAGCAACCATGTTCCCTCCTCCAGGCAGCCCTTCCTGCATTCCTCCCCAGATAGAGCCATTTCTCCATATTTGAGCTGTTCCAGGTTATGTCTCTCCCTTTAACCCATTCCTGATCCCATGTGTCTGGGAATATCTGTGCCCTGCTGTATCTCCTCCCAGAAGGGGCAACAGTCAAAGTCTAGGCATGGGGATGAGGCCTCTGGGGGGCCTCAGCATCACCCAGGACAAGGCTTGGTCTCTAGGGAATATCTGGCAACTGAATGAAACTGACTCTCCCCTATCTGTACACTCACAGGGCCAACCCTGTCACACTGTCTCCTTCCTTCCCACCTGGACTCACCCACCTCTGCCTCAGTTTCCCCCTCACCCAGGAAGCAGCAGGCACATAAAGAGCTCCCTCGGCTACAGGGATAGTGCACCTGGGGCAGGCATGGCCAGACCCCCATGGGCCACAGAGCAGCCCCATGCACAGGGACAGTGCACCAGCAGGCAGGGACACACAGCAGGCACCTTTGGGGATGATGCGCCCATCCGGGAGCTTGATGTCCTCTGTGCAGCGGCGAGAGACAAGAGTCACAGGTGGAAACTGGCGCAGGCTCTCCTTGATGCACATAGTGATGAAGGGCAGCTGAGTCAGGTCATCCCTGGGGAGAAGGGCATGGTGACTCAAGGCCAGCCCACAGTGACAACCCCCACCCCTGAACACACACACACTCAGGAGCAGCTGGGCAGGAATCCAGTCCAGGATTTCAGACTTGCCCCAACTTCCACCATGTGCTGCACTCTGCACTAACACTTAGGATGCAAATGACCTGAGCAGCTGGGGGTGGTGGCTCACACCTATAATCCCAGCACTTTGTGAGGCCTAGGTGAGAGGATTGCCTGAGCCCATGGTTGGAGACCAGCCTGGACAACATGGCAAGACCTCATCTCTACAATAAATCAAGAAAAATTAGCCGGACTTGGTGCCACGTGCCTATGGTTCCAGCTACTTCACTGAGGTGAAAATATTGCCTGAGCCCAGGTCAAGACTGTGGTGGCCATGAGCATGTCATTGCACTCCAACTGGGCTAAGGAGTCTCCAATTCAATACAAAACCAAAACAAATTAAATGACCTGAGCACTGACCAATCAAAACCTCCCTGGCACTGGGGCCCCTGCTGGGCCCAGCATTAA